ATCATGGTTTACAAATTCTTACAAGTCTGATAGAAGGCAATGACAAACAGCAGTCTAGAAAAGAGTGGCAGCAGCACCCTACAAAAAGAATAACAGCAGAATATATTTTCTTAATAATACATAATAGAAAACAAGATGAACAGTGACTTGCTTGTTAGCAGACCAATTCAAAAAGAAACCAATTTCAAATAAAGATACAGTTCTAAAATGTTTAGAAGGAGAACACCTTTTGGAAATTTGTGGTAGTTTAGCTCAGGGGTCCCCAACCGCCGGTCCGCGGACCGGTACCGGGCCGCGGAACAAGCCTTACCGGGCCGCTGGTTGCTGGGCGCCGCCATCTTTTTTTGGTAAAAAAAGCAATTTTTCGTCAAAAAAGATGGCGGCGCCAGCGCTTCGGGTGAGCTTTTCCGGGTAGAAAGCCATTTCTACCTGAAAAAGCTCACCAGAAGCGCTGGCGCCACCATTTTTTTTGACGAAAAAATCACTTCCGGTGACGTCACCGGAAGTGATTTTTCGTCAAAAAAAGATGGCGGCGCCCAGCTGACGCCGGAACCGGGCCGCGGCGCCCAGCTGACGCCGGAACCGGGCCGCGGTGTCGAAAAGGTTGGGGATCCCTGGTTTAGCTGATTGGTTCAGCAGTGACATAATCCAGGAATTAGCATGGGTACCAAACCCTCAATCCTTCCAACAGATGGTTTCCTGACTTAGACTTCTGCTGGATAACACATAATGTTCCAATTCATGTCAATAATCACTGCCAGAAACATACAGCTGGATGCTTTTAGGACTGACTGGCTGATGAGTCTTCTGTATACCTTTTCCTTAAGATAATTTCCAAATAACATAGAAATTCTGACAAGCAGAATTAATAGTTATTCTGGTGATACCCGATTGCCCTTGGTTTCCAGTTTGTCAGTGTGGAATTGGCAAACACTGCACAGAAAAAAGTGCTGATTCATAGACAATTTATATGGGTTCAGCAAACCTACTGTGACAGTAGAATGCAGGTTATTCATCAGTGGGCCTGCTGTTTTGAACAACTTTTTCTTAGAAAGCTTCCGTTAATAGATTTATAACAATACTTGAAAGGAGTTTTGGCTTGATGTGCCAACAAGAATCAAAATTCATCAGGCAAATTCTTCATTTTCCTGCCTTTTGTTTTGGCAAGTTGGATTAAAGGCCTGAGAATCAGTGCATACCATTAAGCAAGAGACAGCCATTTTAAATAACATTTGAACATTTGCAGGAAAAATAACATTTTTCTTTTCCATTCTCTTTTTAAATGTTTTCTCAAGAGTAAAATTACTCAATCTAGTTAGATTGTATAGATTCCTTAAATGAAAACTCCTTTCATTGAGAACAGTATTTAGAAATTTTGCCCTAAAAAATTTCATTCTCTTCAGGATACCTGGTGTTAAGGTAGATGCTTGTCAGGTACTTTTAAAAAAACAACTAGAGCAGGGCTGTTAAACTCCCGCCTGTGGGCCGGATGCATAATGTGCTGGCCATGCCCACACCCAGTTTAACAAAGGGGGGAAAGTGCCAATACATCCCGTGACAACGTGAGTTTGACACCCCTGAATTGGAGCATAGAGGTTTTCCCTTTGGGCTTGGATTTAGAATTGTTATTAAGAAAAATTGCTATTTCATCTCTCTTTTCCTTTCCAGGGCTCTGATCCCACAGCATTTTCTGTACTTACACAAGCTATTACTGGCCAAATAGGCTTTATAGATGCTGAATTTTGTACAACATGTGGGGAAAAAGGAGCAGACAAAAGATGTTCCACATGCAAAATGGTAAGGGTATGCAGATAAACTAATAAACAAATATATCCTCCATCACTTACTGTATATGAATAACCAACACTCTTTTCCCCTTAGGATAAGCATCATACATATCATAAATGCACAGCATGCATCATATGAAAGAAAGAGATAACCACTCCGTACTTTGTGATCCTTAGAAACAATTCATGTTCCTGCCATATCTATATACTAATTCATATTGATTTTCCTTCACACTTTCTATTCCTTTCAAGATTTTCACAACTATATTACTTAGTCTTTTACCTGTTCACTTCTTCTTCACTATGTTTTATAATTCAAACATCATTCAATCTGTCTGCAATCTTAACACACTTTATACTGATCATTCATCAGGTTATTCTTGCCTTCTTTCATTTATCACACACAATTTATAATCTTCCCTCTTGCATTCAAAATTTGTTTTTCTTGACATATCCAATTCTCACTTCCATGTATCAATTGGCAGGAGCCTATTCTCACAAACAATTATTTTTGCTTCTTTCAGCTGTTTTTTTCTAATTATCTTTCTACCATCACTTGTATGTTCTTTCATTTTCCCATCCTTTGTAATTATTTACCAAATAAAATTACTTATAACTGAGTGACAACCCATTTGTACACATTTATGATACTGTATCTCAATCTTAATTTTAACTTTTAAATTGAAAACAAGAAAATAACTTCTTGATATTGGAATTCCAAGTGTGTGAGCAAACAGAAGGCAGTTGTTCGTTTATTTAAAAGATCTCAGTCCTATTTTTTTTATTGTAAAGGGATGCTTCTGGTTCTTAGGTAATTCAAATAATTTTAAAAAATCAAAATGGTAATACATTTTTGTTGATTTTCAGGTTATTTACTGTGATCAGACTTGCCAGAAAATGCACTGGTTTACACACAAGAAATCATGCAGCATGCTAAAGAAGATTTATGAGAAGCAGATAGTAGAAGCAGCCAAAGAAAAAAATAAAGGTTGAGATGCCTTGTTATTTCAAGAGCGTTTAGGAATATGTCCTTTATGGTGGGAAATATATTTAAAACAAACTAATAACTAAAACAGATCCTGGTTGTGTTCCAAAATAATAGGACATGACAATCTTTGCACTAGTGAACTACTATTATATTTTTATCTTTGTCAAAATTCATTCCTTTCCCTGTCATATTCAAACAATTATCCTGAGACAGTATTTTATACTGTGATTATGTGGTGGCAGTTTTTTGATGAAAGTTTTTTAGATAGAACTTTTTGCAAGCTTGAGCTAATCTTTCTCAATCTTAAAATCTTTTTCTTGGCATTTAATTTTCACTTGAAAATTTGATTTTTGGCAAATGTAAATATTTGTTGGTACAAATAGTTTGCAGGTTACAATCAATTTGTTTAGTGATCATGCAGTTTCAACAGCACTGGAACAATAAACTTATAACCAAGATACAATCATTTATGACCTTCACAGTGTCTCTTGGTCACATGATCACCATTACAGTCAATATGGTTAAAAATTATAGCAGACCAAAAGATTCTTACGACCTGATCTCCCCCCCCCCCCCCATGTTCACATGATGGGTGCTTGACAACCAGCCTGCATTTATGGCCATTTGCTGCATCCCATGATCATATGACTGGGATTCATAATGTTTTTACTAAAGGGATTTCAAGAAAAGAATAAGTAGGCACACAGTGGAGAATACACATCTGAAGCAATGCCCTAGCATTGGCATTGCAAAAGTGCATGGTGAACAGACAACGTGTGCCTTTTTAGTTTCTTGTAATCAAGTACTCTCCAGTTTCTCCTCTCTTGTGGTGTGGGGCAGTGGTCCTCAACCTTTTTTGTACCAGGGACCGGTTTCAAGCAGAAAATTTTTTCAAGGACCGGGGGGGGGGGGCGGGGGGGGGGG